AAAACTATAATCAGAAAGAACATCATCTTTGTGTTAAATTTCAACCTTTAAGAAAAAAACAAAGTGAAATGACCAATTGTCAGATTAAGCATGTGCACGAAGCCTCAGCTCTTACAGGGGACAGATAATGCATAAGCCACTGCAGGCTTTTCAGTCTATAAACTGCTATATATGTATTCATTCATTTTACAAATTGTGAATAAAGACCACAGTTAACTATTTAGTTTGCTACCCAATAGAAAGATGTATCCTAAGAAACGTATCTTAAGAAATCATGGAAATAAGATTAGAATGAAATACCAAAATTTAAGCAATGTTTATGTTACAAATATAAGTGCCTTTATTTTCTTTTTTAAACTTCTCAGCATCTTTCTATTTTTCTGTAGTAAAATATATTTTTTGTTATCAGAAAAACATCATTTAAGACATATATTTCCACGTCTTGCTTATTCAAGTATTTTGTCATTCTTCTCAACAAATTTTATCCCTATTAATGCTAAGAATCTTAGAATTTAGGACTTAGAAATAAGACTGAATTCTAAAAGGACCAGGACACTCCTGAAACACTGACTGCAGACATCACTCCAAAGCTTTGGCCAGCCGCCAGGGAACACCCACAGGGCAAGCACGGGTGATGTCGCCTAAAGCCCCTGGAAGCATCAGAGCCTGGAATTTTCTTTAAAAAACTGCCCTTTAAATAAAAAGATCTAATTGCCCCAACCAATCCTATGAATAGTTCATTAGATAACTCTACCTTCCTTCCCCACACCCTCCTAAATTCTAGGTCTTGGTTTTATATGAAACTAAAGAAATTTCTTCTACTACATCTCAAGGATTAAATGAAATTAAACGAGAGGAATGTCGCTGGAAGAACAAAAATAGCAAGAGAGAAAATGCAGGTGTAGCATCATTTCTCCCACCACCTCACAAAGCATTTCCACCATGTTGAACACTGTTAAAGCTACAGAAAAACACCACTATCTGACTCCAAGACGGTGGGGGGGGGGTGTCACCTCACCAGCAATTTTTTTTCCTCTTTCAAAGATCATTTTTTCGCATTGTCATTGCAGGTTTCAAGGTTGAAAAATGAAAACAACCGTTGCCTTTCCATTCTTAATTCTGCTGCCCCACAATGATCAGCTGTCTGCCTCTGGAGTGCTGACTCTGAAAAATATGCGTAGTGTCTTACCTGACAAAGGATGATCTGGCTAAATCCCCACTTATATCCAATATGCTATTTACAGTTCTCACATCCGAGAATTTTAGAGCAGGGAAAAACTGATTTAAATTATTTTCCTCACTGCAAAAATAGATGAATGTTGAAGTGTGTAAAGTAAAAGAATTAGCACTCTGTCCCTCTAGACTTTTTTACAAGTGTATGCAATCATATATTAATATATAAATCTTTGTTATTAACTACTGTAAATTATTACTTTAAAACTTTTTATCATTTCATAATATATCATAAACACTTCTCCAAGTTAGTGTCTGTACATGTGTATAATTTTTCCTAAAAGCTAAATAATATTCCATGGTACTATTCATTAATTAATTCATTTATTTATTCAGCAAATATCTGTTAAGAGTTCATTATGTGTCAGGCACTACTGTAGGAACTGGGAATACAATACACTAGTGAACAAAACAGACAACATTCTGGAGGGGAGGAGGCACAAAGTGGAGACTGGAGAATATACCATAATGTAACTAATCAGCTCCTACTGACAGACATTTATGTCCAATATTTCGCTGTTATAAACCATGCTGTAATAAATAACTCTGCTCACACTTTACTGCTCACCATTGAGAACATTCCTGAGACTTAGGTTCCTAGAACTGGAATTAACTGACAAGGAGCATGAGATTTTAAAAGTCTGATAGATAATTATAAATTTCCCCTCAAAGGGTCATGTCATTTTATAGAGCTACAAACAGCACATAAAGCTTCTATTTCCTCTCATGCTTATATTTTTTGAGTCATTTCTGCCAACATTAACGTGGTCGTTTCTTTTACCGTCAGTAAGGCTGAGCATCACGCACAGGAGTGCACGCTGCTCGCACTTCCTCTGTGAAGACGTCATTCAGAGGCTTCACTTCTTTTCCTACTCAGTTGTTTTCCTTTCCCTTATTCACCCGTAGGTGCTTATTATATACTGAGTTGATTAGCTCTCTGTTACAGTGGTTGTAAATATATTCTTACTAGTTTATTATTGGTATTTAAAATTTCCTTATCGTATCTGCCAACAAACGTACGTTTCATCATTATGTAGTCAAAGATGCCAAACTTTTTGGCTTTAGGATTCAATGTTAGGCATGTAAAGGCTCTCACAGCTACAGTAGCTTTTAAAAATCAACATTTTCTTCTAGTACATTTAGAGTCTCAGCTTTCCTTTCAACACTTACGAGGTTACATGTAAAGTGGTGAAGGCTTGGTATGGTCCACGGACAAACCAGGACCCAGATGGCCATGATTCCTTTCACTAAAGCACTTACAGTGATTGGCCAAAATTATTTTCGCAGACATACACTGACTACACCTTAAAATAGGTATTTATCTATCCATAACAACTTTCTGAATAAGTTGCTACATTGCACTAAATTGTTTAATTCTCTAGTTCTTTAATTTACTGACTATTCTCTAAATTGGCTATTCTCAAAGAACACCTTAGCATACACCTTTTCCAGGATAAAGACTGAGATACCCCATTAACATCTGAGATGTCAGCCTTTTTGTAACTTTCTAGGAAAAAATAAGCTGTAGGATAGTATCTTCTCAATTCAAGATTCTCCTCCACAATTTTTTCATAAACCTTTGATATCTACCATTTCTTATCCACCAGAAAGCACTGCCAAATGACAAAAATAAAAGCAATATTTCTTTCTTAAAAAAGATTAAAAAACAAATAATGCTGATTGTGATAGGTTTTCTTTATTGGCACAGATGATTTTACTTTTTCTTTTATTATATTTAAATGATAGAGCTATTTTCTGCAAGTAAAACTATTCTTAATTTGGAGTACCACAACATCTAAGTATTCTCGCACATGCACAAGTTAGACAATCACAGATAAAAACATCCTGATTCTCGTCAGTGCTTCAGAACCTGTTTCCCACAGATCAGTAACAGCTGGCTTGGCGATGCGGCCACTGCACTCATCCTTCAATCACCTAACTAACAGCTATAGTCCATATTTTGTGTAAATACTCTGAGGTAATAATGCCTTTCCTAAATTTAAATAGAAATTTCTAAGAACACTTGTTCTACAAGCATACTCAGAGGGACTGTTGTGGAGATTTAATAACTATTTGCTGATTATTAACAGGTTCAGTGTATTCAAAGTATCTTAAGAGCTCAAACAAAGAGAACGGTCCAGAGGCTCTAGTTACGAGAATCAGGAAGTCACTCTGGAGGCAGTGAGGTAAACTGTAAAACACAAAGTCAAGTATTACAGAAAAATCACATCTATAACGTACTCGCAAAGGGGTCAGCGAAAGAATACTGTAATGAGAGAAGAGAGACCCAGCGAGCTGGGCACACGCGTGCACGGACAGCTGTGAGGGGGAGCGCGCTGACGGCTGGAGTCCCAGTGACCTGCAGACAAGAGCTCATCGGACTAGTCTTGAAACTTTTCTGTAAATTTAATTTTTTTAATGAAAAGATTTAAAAAACCATAGAGGAAAACGAGAAAGCACACACAGCTCTGGTCTTTCTGCTAGGGCAAGCTCGTCTTGGGCAGAGTATATCGGGTCACGCTGCCCTTCAAACTGCAGCTTTTGAACTTCCAGAGTGAAACACGGAGACCAAAGGAGACCTCCCGACCCACCTTCCACACTGTCCCCCCCAACCCCACGCGACCCACTGACTTCCAAGCAGAAGAACCAGCCTACAGCTTGAAGCATAACGCAGGCAAAACAGAAGTGCTAAATCCAGTGGTTCCAGATGAAAACGCCGTGTCTGAAGAGAGAGAGGCATTACTTTTGAATAAAGGTTGAAAAACATTTTCCAACTCTAACACATATTCTGAGTAAATTTATAACTTAACCCTCAAAGAAGGATAGGAATGTAGCTAAACAGCAAAGGAACAGAGTACGTATCAATTTTACACCAAATTTTTCTGGCAATGTTTTGATTAGTACATTTAAGGTTATTTATTTTTCTATAAACATTTCTATAGAATCTAGCTTGGCCAATATCCATATTATAATCACAGTACAAGCCTGGCTTTTACGGGACACGTCTGCATCTCTGGGGCATCAGGATGTACAAAAGGGAAGTTAACCTTCAAGACCCTCCCTTCTCAGCATCAGCAACTCAAACCCAAGGCTCACAGACAGAGGCACACTCTCAGCCCCTGACATCACAGGACCACGTGAGTGATGGAGGCGGGCAGGCAGGACCTGTGAGACCAGCTAACCACCTGCAGCTCAGCAACAGCCCCGCCGCCGCCGAGCGCGAGCCCCACACCAGCGCGAAGGAGCAAGAAACATGAACTTCACACAAAATTTCAGTAGAATTTATAAGGTTAGAAACATCTTCTAAAATTTTTAAAACACCATGTGGCCAAATAAAACTCCTCTAAACACTTGTGCCCAGAATCACCAGTTTGCAACCTTTGCCTTAAACCAACAATTCACTCTCAAAGGTCCAAGCTCTAGCTCAGTGAGAGAAAAGAGGACGTATTAATTTAATTGAATTTTTGCATCCTGTTTAATATGTGAAAACATGTTACTTGAACTCGTATCTTAATTTTTCAAAAATAAAGCCACACAACTAATTTTTAAAAATTTTCTTTGAAGACAAATGCTGCTGTTACTGGTAAATCTTTTAACCTAATTGCTACATAGAAAGTAAATAAAATTATTTTTCAACTTAGTTGGATTTAGAGAAAACAAATAAAAAGTACATAAGCATATTTTTAAGCACCCCAAACATAACAAAGCACAAAAGAGACACAGCTAATCTGCTGTGCACCCACCTGCCTTCTGCTACCGACACCCACCTGAGGATGCATAAGCAAATCTTGCCTCCCGACGTGAGTCGGCAGAATCCAAATCTCTGCTTACTTTCAATGTCTGTCAGTACAAAGGTAAAGTGCTGTCCAACTTGATTCTGAGACACTCTGAAACATAGGAATATTATAAAACTTTAAGCCGTGTGTGAGCATTTCCTTAAAGAAAAGCTAAAGCAGGAATACATTTGTACGTGGCATTGTTTTCACCTTTCCAGTCTGTTGGTTCTAAAGCTAGAACTGTGCTCTAAGACTCAAATGAGCATGTAACGTGTAAACCAATTCATGAATCAAGTCCCCAAGTGAGTTGTAACACCTTGTGGGCTGAGCAATTCAGGATATGCCAACTCCTTACTAGGGAATCATAAGGTATCTTACTGCAACTTTTCACGTGCTTAAAAATACTCATCACATAGTCCATACATTCTGAAAACACTACTAACAGAAGCACGGAAGTGGGGAGCTAGACCCGCCAACCACGCCTGCTCCCCTGGCTTCAAGGATGCTGGGCGGCCCATCAGCTGCTTCAGAACCTCCCGGAGCCACCGCCAGCTCCAGCTGCTTCTTCTACTGACTTTCTCACCCGCAAAGTCCCCTGAAGATTACTACTAGCATTCTTTTAGCATCCCTTCTAGGACTACCTGTGTACTGACAATAGTTTCCAAGTACAAAGTAAGAATACAAATTTCTACAGAAAAGCTTATTACAAAGAGCTGTAGCTAATTCTGAACTTAGAATCACACTGTCTTCACACGTATCACACTGCCACGTAAGGTGCAGTAAAGTAAAAGTCATTACACCAAACCTTTATTGCTATTTAAAATACACAAATACATTTCCTGTTACTGCTATAATCCTGCCCCTAGACAATGATAACTGAACATCTGCTTCCCTCTCCCAAAATAAAATTTCCATGACACCTAAATTATGACTTTGAAACAGCCACAGAAATTAAGTAAAAGGAAATAAGTTATTTACCTCCTAGTGCGCCAACACTACAAATCATTTTCAACTGTCAGAAAGTACTGCATTTCAAGTGCTGAACATTTAACAAATACACTTTCATGGGGACAGTTTTTTTTTAAATTTTAACAAACTTCACAAACAACCTCTAGTGCCCAGTGCACACAATATCCTTCCACAGCTTTCCTTCCTTTATTCTGTCTTTGCTATTAATTTGGAAGCTGCAAGTTCAGCAACAAGCACAAACGATTTCCTGGCGAAGAGGTAAAAACAACGGGTGCCAGCTAGCCCATCAACCAAACGGCTTTATCTTCAATATTGTAAAATTGTAGATTTTTACCAATCTTTACATTTAGTAAAATACTTTCCTAAATTTTCTTTTGAAGTCCCCTCACAGCACACTCTTAAAACCTGATAATAGGGTGTGAGCAGCGCATGGAAAACAATAAATGATCTGTTGCTGCGCTCCCAGGGCTAGACGTCCTGTGACATTTCCACTACACACAGGTATTACTCTATTCATTATTTGTTCAGTGAAATACAAACATAATGAGATTTTCAAAACTGCTAGGTAAGAGGGTTCCTCTGCAGCCTTGCACAATATTGCACTCTTTCTATAAAGCTATTCTTGGGAGACAAGTAGCTGTGAGGTTTACAATATCACACAGATGGTCTTTTCAATTCGGGTGAAGTGAGACAGAAACCAGGACGTATACATCTCATTTTAAAAGCACAATCCTGAGGCCCTGATAAAGGACATATTAGTATTTTTTTTCTGCTAGTGCTTACAACGTGTCCCTGAAGGACAAAGGGAAGAAATGGAACCGTAAGGCGTCCCCTAACTGGCCGCAGGGGGAAAAACAAGACACAATGATTTTAAAGGCTCCTTCGTTCCAAATACTATTTCATTTGGAACCTCCAGTCTTTTTAGTTACAAGCAGTGAAATGAAAGTCCACTGCATTTTATAAAGAAACCGCATGTAACGATCTTCGCGGGCTCACTAGATGGGCTGGGGCTGTTCCACAGGACGACTTACTGTACCTTTCAACGTCAACGGGGAAGCAGAACTTTGGCACAGTCTGCAGTACCTCCTGCAAATGCAAATCAAAAAAAAAAAGCTTTAGAATATTTTTAAAGATGCAGTTAAAACTTTCATGAGACATATTTTAGGGGGAAAAAAGTTTGTTTTTTTCTTAAGAAAAGTAGCCCAGGTTCCTAGACGAAAATAATTGATTATTAAAAAGGAATTAAGTGTGTGCTTTGGCAGATTGCACTGACAATGGTGCGGAAGCCCCAGGAGGGAAGGCCTGGCCTGAAGGGTATTAACACCCCTGCCGTCCCCGCTGGGACTCCCTTCAACAAGGCCATATGGATTTTACAAGAAGCACCGCACCATATGGGGAGGCTGGGTCTGCTACTGCCTGTTCCACGGACCAGCCACAGGGACTTCTGACAGATCCTGGCTCAAAAATATAAATGTTGTTTCAATTAAAATGCAGGCAGAGAAAAGGGAATGAAGTTGGCAGCAGGGCGCATCGCTGAGACGTATACCAGCTCCACGCGTCCCACAGTAAACGGGCTCAAAATAAAAGGATTTTCTATAGCTAGACAAACGTTTCCATGATGCACTCCTGGTAAATTCAACAGCAGTCACATGAAGTTTTATCTCAGATAACACTCTTAAAGACATGTGGATCTGAAAACAAGCCTTTCATGCAAAACAGCATGGCTCCTAGTCCGTGCACTTTTATTTAAGAATTGCCTAATATGAAAATCAATGTTTTAATTAAGCATAGAAAATAATCTTACTGACTTTGAAACCTGCAGTGATGTCACAGTCATTACACAATAATTTTAGAAATCACATGCATTAACCAGTGTAACAATGCAAACAAGCATCAGCCATTGGGCAAAAAATAGAAAAAGATCTATTTCGTTCATACGAAAGACAACTTAAAATCAACTCCTACTGGAAAGTTAAACTTGAGAACTGAAGATGCCGTCATACAAGTTCAAAGTCAGGTGATTTTATGAGACAAAGCAGAGATGTATGAGGATGTTTCATATTAAAAAGAAAAAAAGAGCAACTATCTTGATGCAGTAGGACCCCCAGAAACACCCCACCTACTACATCTCTACCAGTGAAACTCACTCAGAAGAGTCATCAATATGTGAGCATCTAAACGCCATGCAGGAACACAGTGCTGAGTGTCTCAGAGCAGAATTTCTCACGTTCTTTTTAAATGTAGACTGAAATAAGGTATCAATTAAAAACGTTAAAAAGTGTAAAATTACAAAGCCAACCCCTAAGAAAGCTTCAAGAGCCTTAAGTCCCTGAAGCTAAAAGAAAAGGGCCAAGTGAAAAAGCCATCTTCCGTCACCTTCTGTCTTTGGGGCAGGGTACCTGGTTTGCGCAGGAACATGTCTTTGAAAGTATGAGCGCAAGGCTCATGCTTAGACAAGGCTAACTGTTGCGCTGCTGATAAGGTTTGTTAAATGTAATTAAAAGAGCTGCTAAACTTGAAATAATCTAAATCACTTAAACTGAAAACGGTTCATTACAAATGAGAAGAGTCCACCTGACCATCGCCAGCCCTTCCCTCGTGCTGCAAAAAGTGAAGCCACTTCCCCGCAGCACAGTTTAGACACCACCCCCTGCCAAGCTGTGCATGTACTTTCTGTAACAATAACAATATATATTCAAAATCCGTTGCCTGCTTCCAAATATACCCGGATTAGTCATATATTCCACATCAGTTTTAAGCCTCAAATCAAGAAGAATGTTTCCCAGTTAGTTGCTCGATCGTTCACACCACCCCCCTTCTTCCACAAGCAACACACACGCACACACTCCTGCAAACAGCCTCGGCTCGCTCCCCAACTGGCAGAAGCAACCCTCAGGGGACAAGTCTTTAAACCTCCGCACTCTTTAAAATTCAACCAGCCAGCAGGTCTACAGAGCAGTGTATAAACAGTACAGACAAAAAAGTCCTCCCTCAGCTTCTGTCAGAGACAAAGCAGCTCAGCGGCTGCCTGTCTCCCCCCTCAACGTATAAGCTGGGTTTACGCAGATCAATGGCTGCAGGTCCCACCTAGCTCCCAGGGCTCAGCTTCCTCCTTAATTACAGGTGCTATTCACACTCAGGTTAAAAAGAAGAGAGACAGACAGAGAGAGCAGGAGGGAGCAATCAGATACACGCAGATAGTTCTTTGGAACCTTTAATAACGATCTTAATTGAAAACTGTACTTTTACATTTATTAGAAGTGCTCGTGAGGTCTGGTGTCTCCACCACACAGCGTTCTTGGTATCACACACGCACACACATGCAGGCACGCATGTACACACGTACTTCTAGGTGGGCACCCACAGATTACAGGAAAGGTTTAAGACAATCCTCTTCAAGGGTTGTTTCTCCGCTTTCTACAGGCATTTTTATGAAAGACCTAACTAATTTCCTTGGCCAAGAAAAATTATTTGGGTTCTCAAATCCTCTTAGTTCTCTAAAATATTTTATTGTTATTCAAAAAGAACACACTAACATGTCAAACGTTAAAAATAGGAATAACAAAAAGAGTGAAATAGAATATAAAATTATGACTAGCAAAATGCAACAACCCACACGTCTGCATATGCCCTAAAAGCAATACAGTCACTATGCAAACAAACCGCCTGGAAGCCAGGACTGATGAAGATCGCACACTGGGGGTTTTCCGCTCCTATAGCCCGTGTCTGTACGAACACGCGTGACGATCCAGTCACCCCCGTACGAGAGGGGCGCACGCTGCCAGCGCGGAGAGTGGTGTGCCGACTCTGTCCGGGGGGGGTCCGCAGGCAGCGCCATAAATTGATCAAATAAAAGAGGAAAGGAGCGTTCAATGATCTGCTTTAAAGAAAAAAAAGCTGAAATATGTAAAGCTTACCTCCTGATTAAAGTTCAGTAACTACAAAAGCCTCAGAATTTCTCTGAGAAAAATCTGAGATGAAACGAGACGCGTCACCGTTAGCATCGGTACCCGTCTTCCCTCCCCCTCGACGGCGCCCTCCGTCGCTCTGCCCTGGAACACAACGTTGTCCGCATGTCCCCCGTGTTCTCCTCTCGTCCACACTCGGCAAATGCGGTGTCTGCCTGGGCAATCTCACCCACACACATGCGTTCAACCACAGCAACCAAATTTCTCAGTCTTACGGCTGAGATCCTTCTGTGAGCCCTGGATTACACATCTAACCACCTTCCAGCACCAACGTTCCCCAGACGCCTCAAATTCAGGATGAACACAACTGCAGCCATCCTTCAGGTTTACACTCCTCCTCTCTCCGTCTCGCCTAGCCCGGCAGCGCCGTCCAGCCCGCCGCCCACACCAAACACAGGCAGTCGTCCAGACCTCTCCCTTTCCCTGACCCGCATAATCCATCACTCATCAGGTGTTGTTCACTCGGTTTCACAACCATCTTGCCCCAGAGGTTTTCCATGGAGGGTAGAAAGAATTAGAGGGAAGATAAGAGGGTGTAAGAATCACTTGGGAGGGTTTTTCAAAAAAAACATAGTCTGATTGCCAACACTCAGGGCGTCAACTCTTTGACTTGGTTTGCATGGCTTCCATGATGAAGGAATCCGACTAATCGTATCAGATAAGGGCGCTCAACGTGTAACAGCAACAGCGAGTCTCTCACTGCGGAAGGCGACTAGGTCGTCTGGCTCAGGGACTGACCAGCCCAACGTGTCTTCCAGTCCACCCTTTCCCCCGCCGTCCTGAGGGTCCTGGCTTTGTCCTCAGCCACCTCTACTCGTGGTCACAAAATGAGGTGCCAGACTCTGCTACGTCACGTGAAGACACAGCGTGTCCGGTGAAGGCTCCCGGGGAGGCTCCCTCTGCTGGTGAGGCGCCCCCCCAGAAGCCCCACCGGCCGCCCTCTCCCTCAGCCCAGTCGGCCAGAAGGCCACAGCCCCTCACAGGCTCGTCGCTGGCCAGGGAAACAGGTCCCTGCACTCAGCTCAGCCTTAGCCTGGTTGGAGGGAAAGTCAGGATTCAAATCCAATCATTTTCCACTGAACAGGCAATTATAAAGAAGCTCGAGTGAAGTATCGTATTTTCTTTCCTAAGACTCCTCACAAAAATTTTAATTAGGTAAGAATTCAAGTTATACCAAAATTCTCAGGGGAAATCTAACACAATGTTATATAAGGGCAGTTTCCAAATAAACATAATTTCATGCACTTGAATACCACTTTCAAAATTATTTTGTATAAAGCAGGTGACTTGTCAATTTTAATCTAATTTTTCACAAAGACCATAGATTTCTACAAAGATGGTCACCTAATTTTGAATGTTATCTCCCCAAATAAATGAGAATTGATTAATGCCATATGATCATTCCATCTATTTGTGCTTTACACGGGAGAAAAGTAAACTTTTTTTTCTCAAAAGAAACATTCCCTGAGCTGCAGCCGCCTAGTGCACACCTGGACCCCAGCGTCCCACGGGCACCGCGGGACGGCTTAAGCCCAAGGGAGCACGGCCATCCTAACAGGGTGATTCGATCGGGATGAACTTGATTAAAAGGTAGAGTTACATTCATACAGCAAATTACATGTGTAGCCTCTCTAAACAGCATCTCATTTTCTAAAGAAGTTTTTGAAACTTGGAGACTCTGAAATTTAGGTCTAAGGAATGCCTGAGACCGTTGTGGGCCAGCCCCTTGGTTTTTACTTTCCTGCACAGGTAGAAGTAGATTTCTCTCTCACCCTTCTTCCTTCGATCAGCGAAAGCATTCTATGTCTGTGAATTCTGACGCTAAAACTGCTGAGACTGTTAAATCTGATCAAGTTATTTTTCACTATCGAAAATTAATTAATTTTTATTGTTAGAAGATTTAAATGGCTGCCATGAAGCAGACACATCCTGCTGTAAAAAGAACTCCACTGTGGACTATGAATTTCGAGCATTCTGGTTCTATGTGTACCAACCTCAGGTGACGAGACCTCTTAGTTGACAAACAGTCACCTTAGTTTAATCTAACGTCAATGAAAAAGCCTAGATTCCAAGCAGGGCGGAGCAACATTACCAAATACACGCACCCTTACAATTAGA